TGTCCTGCAGGCAGGTGGAAAGCAGAGCTTGTATGCAATGAGTTTGAATATTTAGCTGAGGGCATTTCTGACCAAAGGCATTGAAGGTACAGCCTGGATTCTTCTTGCTGCTTATGGTAAAAATTCAAGAGGAGAGAGAGAAACTGAGGGAAGAACTTACAATGTAAAGGAAATCTCAGCCTGCACAAATGGAAAAGATACTAAATTTTAAAAACGCACTGTCAGGAAAGCAGGCCTTAGAGAAAAATTCCAAGGTGTGGCTATATTGTTGATACCTCAGAAAGAACAAAAGTCTGAATATTCAGTATCACAGGAGACTCTCTGGACAGGTTAAGTGTGGCTCAGCTCCCTTAGCTCCCCCTGCAGAAGCTACAAATGGATTTCTCAGACAGGTCTGTGGATGAGCCTGCTGTCTAACAGCAAATGCCTCCAATACATTGACCACAATGTTCTGGAAGATTTTATACCAACAAGATTTTATGCCAGCTTGGACCTGGAGGGATGGAAATAGTATAACATGAAGACCCCCTCACAATACCCCCATATTCTAGATGTAGAAAACAGGCTGAAGAAACTACTCAGCTAAAAACAGGTGCCACCTTTCACGGAAAAGGAAGGCCAAGCCTGGAGCCACCGGGGATCATTCTCAGGCCTGCAGACATATGGGTGTTGCCCTACTGGATTTCAAAATAGCTTGGGAGCAGTGACTGCTTTTGTCCCTCCATCTTCTCCCTTTATGAACTGGAATATTAATAACTGATATCCTATGCCTGTGGCTCCATTGTATTTTTGGAGCAGATGATATGTGTCTTTTGTTTCACAGGTCCATAGGTAGAGGGGACCCAGACCCTAGGATGATTCGCACTCAGCATCTCACCCATACCTGACTTAGATGATGAGATTTGGGACTTTTGAGATAATGAGACTCAGAGGATATTTTAAGACTCTGACTTGGGGCTATAATGGGATGAGACTTTGAGGGATCTTGGAATGGAGGTGCCTATGGGACTGATGTAAATCTTTAAGGGCCAAGAGACAGACTGTGCTAGGTAGACTAATGGTTCCCAAGGATGTGCATATCCTAATCTCCGCATCCGCAACTAAGTTACCTTACATGGAAAAAGGGACTTTGCAGATGTGATTATGTACCAAGACCTTGAGATGGGGAGATTATCCTGAAGTATAACATGAAGACCCCCTCACAATACCCCCATATTCTAGATGTAGAAAACAGGCTGAAGAAACTACTCAGCTAAAAACAGGTGCCACCTTTCACGGAAAAGGAAGGCCAAGCCTGGAGCCACCGGGGATCATTCTCAGGCCTGCAGACATATGGGTGTTGCCCTACTGGATTTCAAAATAGCTTGGGAGCAGTGACTGCTTTTGTCCCTCCATCTTCTCCCTTTATGAACTGGAATATTAATAACTGATATCCTATGCCTGTGGCTCCATTGTATTTTTGGAGCAGATGATATGTGTCTTTTGTTTCACAGGTCCATAGGTAGAGGGGACCCAGACCCTAGGATGATTCGCACTCAGCATCTCACCCATACCTGACTTAGATGATGAGATTTGGGACTTTTGAGATAATGAGACTCAGAGGATATTTTAAGACTCTGACTTGGGGCTATAATGGGATGAGACTTTGAGGGATCTTGGAATGGAGGTGCCTATGGGACTGATGTAAATCTTTAAGGGCCAAGAGACAGACTGTGCTAGGTAGACTAATGGTTCCCAAGGATGTGCATATCCTAATCTCCGCATCCGCAACTAAGTTACCTTACATGGAAAAAGGGACTTTGCAGATGTGATTATGTACCAAGACCTTGAGATGGGGAGATTATCCTGGATTATCAAAGGGGGGTCCAGTCTAATCACATGCATCCTTAGAAGTGGGGAGCCTTTCCCAGCTGCAAAGAACCAGAGAGATGGCATCTTGAGAAGGACTCAGCCTTGTGAAGGCTTTGAAAGTGGGAGAAGGATGCCATGAACCAAGGTTGCAGCCACCTCTCAAGGCTGGAAATGCCCTCAGTTTATAACCAGCAGGAAAATGAAGGTCTCGGGCCTGTATTGAAGGAATTGAATTCTGCCAACAATCCAAATGAGCAGGAAATGGATTCTCTCCTAGAGTCTTCAGAAAGGATCACAGTCCTGCTGACGCCTTCATTTTAATCCAGCAAGGCCCACTCCAGACCTCTGATCTATGGATTTACAATTTGGGTTGTTTGAAACCACTAAGTTTGGGGCAATTTGTTGTGGCAGCAAGAAAGCTAATACTATTATTATAAACTCTTTTTCAGTCTGCTTTTTAACTTAGCAAAATAGTAGGAACATTTCCTGTGTCACTGAACATTCTTCCACATCACTTTAAGAGGCCCTGTGGAATTCCATTGTTGAGGATGAACCTCCTACTGTTGTATGATTGGCTTGCTTGTGCTGTTTGACTCTCAGAAACAGTGGCAGTGAGCATGCCTCTGTATGCATGTCTGCACACATGTTTGATCATTGCCTTAGCAAGTGCTATGTCAAGTGCATTGGTCTCTTTGAATGAGTGTTTCATTAACACGCTTAATTCTCAACCCATGACTTTCTTTAGGATGTGGAATAGGGAACCCAAAAAGGCCGGCAGATGGCTCTGGCGTGTGTGTCTTGGGCAGGCAGGACTCTACCTTGCACCTCGGTTTCCTCAACTGTTCAGTGGGCGGTAATGCATGCCATGCAGAACCATTGTAACTTTGAAGAGAGAACCTTTGTGACAGTATCTAGCCCATAAATGACATGTAACAAAAAAAGAGGATGCAGAGCAAAGCTGTGTGCTGAGAAGGCACCAGCACGCACACAACCTTCCTGCAGATATAGATGGAGGGGGCTGCTCCCCCCATAGTCTCACAGTCCAGCAAGGTCTGGACACGTGTCTGAACGTGGTGGCACTGGCCTCAGATGACTCTAAGATTTCTAACCCACAGAGCTGCAATTTGGGTTATCTTAAAGCCCCTAAGTTTGTGGCAGTTTGTTCTGGCAGCAAGAGAAAATGAATGCAACTATTATGATAAACTCTTTTGCAGTCTGCCTTTTAACTCAGTGAAATATTGAGAACAAACAGTGCCTTGTCCCCTACGCAGCAAACCTCTTCTTACCTGTCCAGATTTTGCTCCCCTGCCGCACCCTGGCTTTCTCAATAAGGGCCAAGATTTCATTTGACCCAGGTTTTGAGAACAACCAGAAGGCTACACCCTTTCCTTCAGAACAAAGAGCTTTGCATGTGACTGCCAAAACCCCACATGACTTTTCCATCCTAAATGTGTGGAGATTTGGGTTTATTGCCCATTGCCTCAAAATGTCTCCAGTCTCAAGCTCCTTGGGACGTCCTAAGGGCTCATGATAATAGGCCAGAGATTGTAGAACATTCGCCCAAACCATTATGTAAACTTCAGGGTATGCAGTGTGTGCTTCAGTGAAGTGGGTTACCTCAAACTACAGGAGGAAGAAGAATCAGTTTATTGCTATTATTGATGATATCAATGACCTCATTCATCCCAGTGTGCTGGAAATCCATTTCCTGTGCCACACGCTCCCCTCCGTGTCACTACAGCCCTCTCCACTGTGGGAGTTGTCCTTGGCATATGAAAATTGCCAAACGTCCCCCATATCATCCATGACAATGTGAGAAAGGAGGAGAAAGAGAAAGGAGAGAAGAAAGCTGCCTGTAACAAGAGGAGTAAGAACTGAGAGAATCTGCCTCTGAAGAAGGGGTGCAATGGTCACAGCGGGGGGCTCAGGACCTGTGGGTCTGGGAGCAGTGCCTCACTGTCAGCCCCAGAGAGGGGGTCACTTAAGGCTGCGGAGGTGTTGGCCCCAGGTGGGCACCAGGCTTCCTGAGATCCTGGGAAGGCCCCATTCTGCAGGGAGAGTCCTGTCCCAGCTCTGGGAACCCAATGGGAGCTGGCAGGCAGAAAGGGCTGTAAGCAATCAGGGGTTGCCTCTGTGAGCCTGCCCTTGTGCACTCCACCCCCGGGCATGCTGTCTGCTTGCACCGGTGGTGTCCACACAGTCTGGGTGAGCTCAGGCCTTCTCCTGGGCATTAGAAAGTAGTATACTCCAAACTTTAATTGCAGCCTGGTGGTGATGAGCATTGGAAACATTCCAAAGCCCCATCAGTGAGCAGTTGACCTTGTACCTGCTGAGTCAAGGCCAGGCAGAAAGGCACCCAGGGTCTCCTCTGGGGCACGGGAGTAGGTCGGGAGGCCTGGGTCAGCATACGGGACATGTGGGGTGGGGGAGGGGACACATGGACCCAAATCAAAAGAAGATACTCCAGTGCCACCCATAAACTCTAACACTCAGGAAATCCTGAAAATAAGGGCAGAAAGCTGCCCAAGCTGTTTCTTCCATTCACTGTTGGTCCATGTCACCTAGATGATTCCCAGGGTGGTGGTTTCAGATAGAAGACAGGACACAAGTCCTTAGAACTGTCCTTAGAACATCTGCACAAATGTGGTTGGGGAAGTAGAGAGCATTCCCAAGGGAAGGTGCCGGGTGTCCCAAGTTCAGTCCACAGAGCAACTGCCTTGCAACCACCCTTGCCATGTTTAAATGCACATTTCCAGGCCCCAACCCTGGAGGGGGTCTGGGAATCAGCATTTTCACAAAGCTCCCCCCAATGGTTCCACCATGATCATGCTTCATGTTTATTCCCAGCCTCCTGAAGGGCATGGATGATACCACAGGGCACGTGGGCATGTCATCCCCACCATTTATAGCCAACAGCGGCTTCCTGTGGAGCCAAGCTGGGCGGGAAGGACGTCCTGAGTCTGCCCTACTCCCCGCCTGTGTTCCCACACAGGGACACCCCGTGCGACCCCCTGAGGCTGATGGGGCCCTGTCTTGGGCAGCCATCTCTCGAGTTTGGCTTGCAGTTGCCTAGGGCTCGAAGCAAGGCCAGATTTCTAAGACACCCCAAACCTGTGGTCTCTCAACACACTGTATTGTCTGTGTAACAGTGTTTCCAGGAAGGACACCATCGTGGTGGACCCCTCCAGCAACATGTACTACCACTGGCTGATTGTCATTTCCCTGCCAATCTTCTACAACTGGTGTCTGCTCGTGGGCAGGTAGGCGGGGCCCCCACCCAGGGAGGGCAGGAGGGGCAAGGCAGCCAGGCCTCAAGGCAGAGCTCCGAGTCCCACTAGGGAGGCCGGACCTCTGGTCCCCATGAGGCCACCATTCTGCTGTATGTCCCGTTTCTCCATTATAGGAGGGTTTGAAAGAAGACATCACGGCTCTCTGAAGCCCTGGCGAGGGCTTGTGCTTGGGGTGGGTGGTGGGAGTCCTGGCACCTTGGAGCCTTCTTACTTGGGCTTTAGAGGGAACATACAGGGGTGAGTTGCTATTCTTCTGGGGGTAAGCAGATGAGGGCTGGGCATTCCTGATGCAGGACAAGGGTGTGGGACGGCAGCTCTCCTGAGCTGTGGGCTTTGGGCTTTCCCAGGCAAGCTGTGGTGCTGGGCAGGGTGGGCTGCTGCTCTGGTGAGGCCCTTGGGGTGCTCCTGAGCAGCCTGCAGGGCCACTGCCTTTTGGGGGATAAATGTAGGCTCTGGAACCTTCTAAGCAAGCTGCAGACCCAGGGTGCAGGGTGAGCTGCAATTCTTCCAATAAGGGGTGGGGACTTATTGGAGAGCAGGGGACTTGGGGTGCTGAGCAAGCTGCAGGGTGGGGACCCAGGTACAAGCTGCTGCTCTTTGGGGCGATGTCTATATGAGAAATAGTGCACATAAAGGTTCAGAAAGTAGAAAATATTTACTGGCTTGCTCAGTTGGTAATTGCTTAGAAATTCTCATGTTTTTGTCTGCATTGGGCCCCAGAAAGGCCAGTGCTCAGCCCCTCACCTGCCTGCAGCAGTGAGGCCTAGAAAACCTGCCCCTCCTGGGGTCTCAGCACTGCTGCTGAGAGGCAGCAGGGCCCACTCTTCTCAGGAACTTCTTGACCTTGGGACAGGGAGGCTTTTGGAGTCAGGGTCTCTGCATCAGGGCTGGGAGTGAGGCTGGAATCCAAAGGCTGCAGGCAGGGCGGTGACCCAGGGTGCCTGCCCTGGACGCACTGTGCACCTTCTCGCTGCTCAGGGCCTGCTTTGACGAGCTGCAGTCGGAGCACCTGACACTGTGGCTGGTCCTGGACTATTCGGCAGACGTCCTCTATGGCTTGGATGTGCTGGTGCGAGCCCGGACAGGTGAGTGTGCCCAGGGCCTGGGGACTCCTCTGGGCCGGGCCACAGACCTCACAGCAGGCAGCAGGTGGGGGACCTTGGGGGCCACTGGGCATGTTTGGGGAGATCCAGACAGTAGAGTGGATATTACTGCCTCTGACAATGAGAGGCCAGGCAGGTCTGGGGAAGCTCCAGCCGTGTGGAGGTGGTGCTGCCTGGAGTGTCTTCTGCAGTGACCCCCTTGGACAGAGCCCTGTGCAGAGGTCAGGACACATGGGTTCTGGTCTCTGCTGTCCCAGCAAGCTGTGTGTCCTTGAGCAAGTCAAGCTGTCTCTCTGGGCCTCATTTGTATCACCTGTGAAATAAGGCCAAACTGTCATTGCAAAGGCCCCCTCCAGCTGTGGCTGTGCAACAGGAGCAGTCAGGAAGCAGGAGGGGAGCCCCAGCAATCTTGAAGTTCCTCTTCTTGGGCAGTTAGGGGATGCAGGACCTGTTCTTCTGTGGCTTTTAGAGGAGTTTTAGTAGATGGAGAACCAAATGCTGAAACAGGGCCTAGATGAATGATGACTTCCTTCAGATAGGTGGCCCCAGGTTATGAGTGAGGCTGAAACCCCACCCATGCCGAGGCCCCAGTCTGTGCATGATGGGACACCTTCCTCTCATTTGCACAAAGACATCATGTAAGCTGGTAGAGGCCCTGCCTGTCACTCCCAAGATCTTTGATATAAAAACCCTGCTGTTGCCAGTATAAGCACCACGGGGTCACAGCAATAAACTTCAGTGTGGCTTCCCTGTGTGCAAAGCATTTCAAGTGCCCCTTGTTGCCTCATCAGAACTGCTGCGTGAGGCAAGAAATGCAGGCCTAGTTATCTGCATCTCGCTGATTTAGAAACTGAGACCCAGAGATGCTGAGTGACTGGCCCAAAGTCCACAGTCACTGCCCGGCAGGCCAGCCTGGCCCCCATCTGCTTGCACAGGATGCCCAGCATCATAACTTAGAAGATCCAAGTACACAGCCTGAGGCTCGTGTGGGTGATGTAGTCAGGCTGGGGGTCTGCCGCGCCACGGTCACATGAGCCTGAGACACGAGAGCTCTTCAGTGGGACAGGTCACCCTCACTCAGACATTGGTCCCGTACTGTGCCCTTGGCAACCTAAGACTAGGAAGCTTTTGGGGGATGGCAAGTCAGCACAGAAGCCACGTGGCCATGGGAAGAACTCATCCCACTTAAGAGAAGGGAGCAGTGAGGTGACAGCACGGAGCGCACGCGATGGTCTAGATGCTCAGTGAACATGAGCACAGCCAAAGAGTGAAGGAGGGGAAGGTGCACCAGAATGCAGGGTGTCCTCATGTGTGATGACAAACTTGATGTCTGCTTCTCCCAGAGGGTGCAGTCCTCCCTCCGTCTGGCCCCACAGGGCAACCCTGGACCAGCAGCCTTGTTAGAGGCACCCAGACCTATGGAACCAAGCTTTGGGGATGGGCCCTGCGCTCTGTGTGTTTACAGAGCCCTCAGGCCTGCTGCCCACCAAAATTTGAAAGGCTTTCATTACATTCCTCTTCTTTAATGCGTGTTTGAAAATGTCAAAGAAAAGGAAAGAGAAGGAGGAAGAAGAAGAAGAATGCAGCCGTGGCTACTTGACTGATTTCCACAGCAATAATGCCTCACAACTCCCAGTGTCCAGCCCATGTCCAGACCAGTCCGGTTCTCTAGGGAGTGGGTCACATATGTTTTAAAAGGCCCCTGGGTGACAGCGATGTGCAGCCAGCAAGGAGAGTATTGCCTTCCTAGGCAATGTTTTTAAAAGGTGGGTCATGCTCTATTAGTGACAGCTGAAATCAATTTGATAGGCCACAAATTACTTATCATCAAGTTTTTACTCTTAATGTTTTCAAACATAAGCAAAATCAGAGAGAGTGGTAGCATGAACCCACATACACCCTCACCCGGCTTCAACAGTTATCACCCTTTTTCTAACCTTATTTCGTCTATTCCCTGCCTTCCTTTCTTGGCTCGAGTATTTTAAGACAAATCTCAGGCAATAACCACTTTAACCTTATCTCTAACTTTAAAGGATGGGTTTTTTAAATATAGCTTCCACTTATCTTTTAAAACTTAATAATCATTCCTTGGTATACCCAATCCACATTCAAATGTACCCAACTGATCTTTATTTTTGAATGGAATAAAACAAATTAGAACCTCAGAGAACAAACACCAGGGGGCATTTCCATGGTAGTGGTAAATGTGATTTGGGACATTCTTCCTGTTATATATGTATAACTACATCTGCTGTAATCACCTAAAATGTCTTTCTGTGGCCCATGATCAGAAAAGGCAGCCTCTTTGATGCCTAAGTGGCCTCTGTCTTCTTTTCTAGGCTTTCTTGAGCAAGGCTTGATGGTCAGGGATGCCCAGAGGCTCTGGAAGCATTACAGAGAGACCTTACACTTCAAGCTGGATGTACTGTCCCTGGTCCCCACAGACCTGGCTTATTTTAAGCTGGGCATGAACTACCCAGAACTGAGGTTCAACCGCCTACTGAAGTTTGCCCGTCTCTTCGAGTTCTTTGACCGCACGGAGACGAGGACCAACTACCCCAATGCGTTCAGGATCGGGAACTTGGTCTTGTATATTGTCATTATCATCCACTGGAATGCCTGCATCTACTTCGCCATTTCCAAGTTCATTGGTTTCGGGACGGATTCCTGGGTCTACCCAAACATCTCCAACCCAGAGTATGGGCGCCTCTCCAGGAAGTACATTTACAGCCTCTATTGGTCTACCTTGACCCTGACCACCATTGGTGAGACCCCGCCCCCTGTGAAGGACGAGGAGTATCTCTTTGTGGTCATAGACTTCCTGGTGGGCGTCCTGATTTTTGCCACCATTGTGGGCAACGTGGGCTCCATGATTTCGAATATGAACGCTTCACGGGCCGAGTTCCAGGCCAAGATCGACTCCATCAAGCAGTACATGCAGTTCCGCAAGGTAACCAAGGACTTGGAGACGCGGGTTATCCGGTGGTTCGACTACCTGTGGGCCAACAAGAAGACGGTGAATGAGAAGGAGGTGCTCAAGAATCTCCCAGACAAGCTGAAGGCAGAGATTGCCATCAACGTGCACCTGGATACTCTGAAGAAGGTCCGCATCTTCCAGGACTGCGAGGCGGGGCTGCTGGTGGAGCTGGTGCTGAAGCTGCGGCCCGCGGTCTTCAGCCCCGGGGATTACATCTGCAAGAAAGGTGACATCGGGCGGGAGATGTACATCATCAAGGAGGGCAAGCTGGCTGTGGTGGCTGATGATGGGGTCACCCAGTTCGTGGTCCTTGGCGATGGGAGTTACTTTGGGGAGATTAGCATCTTAAACATCAAAGGGAGCAAGTCGGGGAACCGCAGGACAGCTAACATCAGGAGCATCGGTTACTCCGACTTGTTCTGCCTTTCCAAGGACGATCTGATGGAGGCGCTCATGGAATACCCTGATGCCAAGAAGGCCCTGGAGGAAAAGGGGCGGCAGATCCTGCTGAAGGACAACCTGATTGATGAGGACCTTGCCAAGGCCTGGGCAGACCCTAAGGACATTGAGAAGAAGGTAGAGCACCTGGAGTCCTCCCTGGACACCTTGCAGACCAGGTTCGCCCAGCTGCTGGCCGAGTACAACACCACCCAGATGAAAATGAAGCAGCGCCTCAGCCAGCTGGAGAGCCAGGTGAAGATCTCTGGGAGGGGCTTCCTGTCTGACGGGGACATTCCAGAAACAGAGGCCAAACAACAGTGAAAGTGCAGGTGCCCATCTCCCGGAGCCCACTGTTGGTGTGATGCCTCATGGCCACAGCTGCCTGGCATGGGACTTGGTCAGGCATGGAGTCCAGCTCTCCTTACCCTTAGCGAACTGTGTGACCTCAAAAAAGAGTCTCCATTTCCTCATCTAGAAAATGGGATCCATTATGTCTGCCCCAGTTAGGTGGCAGGTTATTAGGATATCCCCATGAAGCCCTGCATGAGGCAGGCCTTTGGAAAGGGCGAGGTGTCCCCAGTCCAAGCGCATGAATGCGTGGGCACAGAACTCTTTTTTTTCATCCAAAAGGACTTTTTAGACTTCTAATGTTCATTTTCTTGTAGACAGAAGATTATTTCTCCCTCCCCCTCCTGCACCACCTCACTGCACAACCCTCTGATAAGGGAGATGGAGATGCAACAAGCTGAAAGTACAGTGTGGTGACTCAAATTCAACCTTATGCCAGACACTTTGGGGCACAATTCCAAATCTGCTCCCTCCTCATGTGCTCTCTGGGCCCCGAGAAAGCCTGGCCTTGGGTTGTGCTGTGATAAACACAAGGGATGAAGCAAGGTCTCCCTGTCTGAGGCCAAATCTGTAAAGCCAGTACAGACTCCTGCCGTCCAGCCCCTGTGAAACTGGAATCTGCGTCATAGAAAGGAGCATCTCAGTGAGAGAAAGAGACATCTCCTAAGCTGTCCGAGCTATTCCAGGCTTCTCTCCTGGCCCTTGAGTGGGGGCTCTAGGGGGCCTCTTCAGGCTCTCAGAGGAGACCACTGTCAGGGAAGAGCCTTCAGGCTGGTGGTTGGAATGGGATCCTGAGCCAAACAAAGCAGACAACTAGGACTTTCAGAAGATGAGACCCTTAGGCCATATCTGTGCAAATTGCCCCTTCACCCTCAGAGGGGAAGCCTTGCCCTTGCTCAGAACTGCATCCTAGGCCGAGCTCTTAGCGGGCTGGAAGCTGCAGAGGGCAGAAACTAGCTTTTTAAAATCTAGTAAGTAGAACTCCATGAACATATTCTGGCTCTATGATTATATGATTGTGAATATAACCTTAATGGTCCACCCTTCACTTTACATACACATTGTAATTACCCAAAGATGTCACCTCCTGACATAAGAAAGCCATATATATATATATGTATGTATGTATACACACAGGTTTTCCTTCTCCTCAGTCTCCCTGTCTTTGTTTTTCCTTCCTTCTTCTCCTCCTTCCTGCCTTTCCCCACCTCTCCTCCTTCTCTTCCTCCGCCTCCTTTCTGTCTCTTCTCAGACCAGATGCCCTGTTTTGCTTCAGCAACTTTGATGTCTCTATGGCCTGACATTATAATCCATATGCTATGTAACTAGGCCTTAATGTAGTTCATACTAAAGGTGCTGCATATTCAAGGATGTATTCTGGGTTTACGTAAGTCTTTTCTGGCTTTCATTATGGATCACTTGACCATTTTAGCATTTTAAAGGTCTGTTAAAGGAAGGTGTGATCCAAGCTCATGTCATCAGCAAAAGGTAACTGGCAATGTATTCTCAAAATGCACATATTTTAAAAGCCTTAACTATTAATCATGCCTCCACTCATATTTGCACAGGAAAAATAAAGACCTGAATTTAAGGAAATATTGAATGACTCCTGCTTCATGTTGTGTCATAAGAGAAGATTCAGTCTTGGGGTTTGTTTCCAGGACAATGAGCCTGGCTTCCCCAGAAGACTGGCCCCTGGTGAACAGGGGCAACACCCACTCCACATGAGGGGAAATGGACCAGAAGCAGGTAAGAAAAGCAGCCAAAGCTGCAACATTTGTCAGAGTAAACAGAGCATCCAAATATATGAGTGTCTCCCAGACGCACTTCAACATGCACACCGTTAGAGTTTCTGTGTTCACGGTTTTCTTCTACTAAGGCAAAATGCATATGTGAACTAGTCAGTGTCCAAATATTAAGTGTACATCCTCTGAGTTTTGGTAAATACATACCCTGCAACATACCCTTATCAAGATGCAGAACATTACCAACATTCCAGAAAGTTCCTCACACTCCTTTCCAATCTCCATGCCATCCTCAGAGGTAACCACTGTTCTAGGGTTCTTTTCCACCATTGATTATTGGGTTTTTTTTAAATCTTAACAAAGATTTTGTACTGACTTCTCCTGACATGTGGGCCTATATGTCGGTGGTCAGGCCATCAAGCGGCTTTTTGTGAATGGTGGTGCAAGGTGAGACACCAACAGGACAGGCACTGTTGGGTCATCAGGAGTGACTTGCTGATGGGTGACCCAGAATCAAGGCATGGGGGGCTGGGGAGCTTATATCTGTAAAGCCCTGATTTGCCTTGGGCAGGCAGAGAACTGGGATTTCCTAGACCCAGGCTCTAATCAGTTGAGCTGATTGTAAGAGACTTGGAGATGGGCAGTAACACCCCCTGACAATGGAAGGCCCCTGCCCTGCGTCTGAGGCAGCATCAGATGCTCTGCATTTCCTTCATATTCCCCCCTTAGAGGCAAGTCATAGAATCCTCATCCTATAGCTTTGGAAATGAAAACTCAGGAATGGTAAATGTCACACCCAGGGTCAAAACAATTTAAACAGAGTAAAAAAGCACAAAACATTGGCACTGGATTGGCTCACACCAATTATCTGTGATCAGAGGATAAACACTTATGAGCATATATTTTGTGCCCCATTTTGGATTCAAGAGTTTTTTTCCTAGCAAGACTACATGCCTGCTAGCCCAAAGTGAAGTTAAATGTCGCTCAGCAAAAGCCTGAACTAATGAGAGTCTCACACTCTCTTGATTAATGATTCCTTAGGATAATCATAGCATCAAATGTAGAAACTTATCTGAATTTTAAATTTTATTTTGGTCTAGCCATTGGGTCAGTTGGTGCTCAGCAGTTTTTACCCTCTCAACCCTTAAGACTTACTTCAGTGTGTCATTTTAAAGAACAAGAACATGTCCTTTCATAACCACAGTGCAGTTATCAAAAGCAGTAAGTTTAACATTGAATACTTTTATGTAATCTGCAATCTATGTTCACGTTTCATTTCAAGTCCCAAGGAGCTGCCCTTTTTCCTGGTCGAGACATAGTCTAGGATCACAAATGACATTTATTTATTGTCATGTCTCTTTAAGCCTCCTTTAATCTAGAAATGTCATTTCCTCCATCTCTTTTGGCCTTTTGCTCCTTTGACACTTTTGAAGCCAATTATTTTGCTCAATGTTCCTCAATTTGGTTTCATCAGACCTCCCACATATTTAGATTTAGGTTGTGCATTTTGGGCCCTAGCATTTACATGGTTAAAGGTTGAGTATCAAATTCAGCTCTGAGCATCCTAAGAAAGAAAGAAGAAAGGCAGACAGCAAAAGTCACATATTTGTTGTTATTGAAACCAAGAAAACATACCATTCTTATTCAAGAGATTCACACATTTACCATTTTTATACACATTCTTGATTCCCCCCAGAAAGGGTTTATCAATGCACATTCCCATGGGCAGCCTGAAAGAGCAAATTCTCCCCATTCTTGCCAAGGGTGAGCATGGTGAGTTTTTAGTCACCCATGTTTCCACTATTCGTTTGTTATTTTGTGAATGATTTTTTTCTATTCCCTTGGTTCATTTTCCTATTGAACTTTCATCTGATTTACCTCCTACACGAAATTCCACTCAGATAAAGATCAGGTCTTTTTTTGTTTTCTTACCACAATACACCCAGCAAAGGGCAAAGCACATAATGACGTTTCATAAATATGTGCTGAGAGTCAAAAGGGTTAATTTCCTTAGAGTCAGTTGGAAGTGACTGAATTAGTGAGTCAAAATGCAAGAATTCTTAGAAGGTTTTGATGCATATTAAGTTGCTTCCCCAAAAGTTTGCATCATTTTACAGCATATGATGTAAAAACAGACAGTGGCTATCTGTTATTATTTTTATTCTTTCACAACAAATTAGAAAATTATCTTGCTTAATGTACATTTATTTCACTATAAAAATAACTGGACCTTTTATGTAATAATTGGCTACTTAAAATTCTTTTTAAACCCCTTTTCATAACTCTTCCTATATTTCTATTTTTCCTCTCTTTCTTATTCACTTGTGAGAAGGCATTCGGAAAATGAATTGGTCCTCCTTTGTTGATATGTAACACAATTTTCCCCCTAGTTTGTTTATGTCCACCAAAGTTTCTGTATTTTTATGTGGTTGAAGTTATCAATCTTTTATCAGTTTTGGCTTTTCTGTCATATTTAGTCCTTTTCATTCAAGAACTAGAAATATTCACCCACGTACACCTCTAGTATTTTTGTGGCTTCATTTCTTACATCTAAGTCTTTATCTATTTGGACAGGATTCATTTTGGCAAAAGGAGTTAAATGAGACTGAGACCATGAAATTTCAAAACAAAACCTTTACTGTATATAACATACATGCAGTGAAGTGGCAAATATTAAGTGCAGAAGTTCAGTACTTTGTTACATATGGGCCTGTTCTCACCTGCTAGAACAGCTTGCCCACCCCAGAAGGCTCCCGTGCCCCTTCCAGTCAGGAGCACTCCCTGAAAGATCACCATTTAGACTTCCATCCCTGAGGATTGGTTTTATCCATTCTCAAACTTCATATAAATGGAATCACAAAGTGTTTGCTTTTTTAACCTGCCTTTCTTTGCTCAACACAAAGTTTTTGAGACTCTGCCATGTTACGTGCAACTGCAGGCCATATTCTCATGGCTGTATACTATTCCACTGGATGAACATAGCAAGTGTACTTATCTGTTCTGGTATTGATGGGCACTGGGACTGTTTCAGTTCTGGACCGTAATGAGCTATGTTGCTCTGAAAATTCTTGTAGCAGACACATGTACTCATTTCTATTGGACATATACACTACATATAGACCCATATGTTTTGTATCTTATGTCCTCTCACAAAAAGTCTGATGGCTTGAGAGGTAAGAAGCTTGTTTCAGAAGCTCAGCTATATCATCATGGAGGACTTTTGTCACCACCCTGTGGAGTTCCTGGATCACTCAGTTTGCCCATGACAGTACCAGGTGCTCTGTTTGGGGGGAAAAAAGAATCTGTTCCTGGAGGCTTCATGATTCTACTTCAGGGCCACTGATAGGGGACAGCAAACAAAGCCTTCATCAGGGGTCCAGATAGTTAGTCCTCTGCCTGCTTGCCAAAAAAGATACTGTCTGCTTGCCAAAATGTAAAACGTTGACTGTGTAACAAAGCACTCTAATAAATGGCAAACATACAGTGGCAAAGCATTTATAACCTGAAAGCAACCTGCTATTTTATGTATATCAGGAGCTCTTCTACATCAAGAGAGGATGATTAGCCGCACTAGGCAGGTTCTGCCAACCTAGAGCCTCTCCTAGGGGAAGCGGCCTTCCTTCGTCCCACTGCAGAGGCAGCCATGGGCAGCCATGGTGGGACCTGAGGACAGTGTCCCCTGCCCCCTTCTGAGCAGGGTGTATCAGGGATGGAGTCCCTACCCAAGGAAACTGACCTGGGGCATGGTTTGGTACATAAGACCAGCTGAACCAATCGGGTTCACTCTAAGGAATTTGAAACAGAGCGGCAATAACAAGGCATTCAGCAGTGGAACTGAAGCTGAGACAGTGTGGAAGGAAGCCATGAGCTGAGATTGGAGCCTGAAGCTTTTGCAAGTTGGAGATGAGAGGAAGCAGAAACAGGTGGTGATGGGGAGAAGGCAGGAATGGGGGTGAGTGGGGTTGGAGGGGGCAGAAGGGGTGCTTGTGAGGGTCAAGGTTCAGAGGCACCCCTGGAACACCTACCAGGGTCCATGGCCCTGAACGGCTAGCAATTCCTGTTACCATTTTTGTTCCAATCCGATCGACTGTGTACCTGCGGATCTCCATTCCTTTGCAGCAAAATTCCTAGTTGAAAAAAAGATGGGAATGGACAACTCAAAGAAAAGAATCCAAACATCAAAAAACAAATGGAGGAAATATTAAAATTACTTGGAAACAATGAAATACAAATGAAACAACATTGCAGCTCTATTTTTTCAACTTACTATAGTAGAGAAAATTATTTAAATGAGGGAAAATTATTTAAATGATACCACCAGTTTGGGAGACGTTGACATGAGATAGACATTCTGAAATAGTTTTGTAGTTGTAAAAATTGGCTCTACCTTTGAAATAAATTTGGCAGTACATTTTAAAACTGTGGTAACATTTATAGCCTTGGTGTCAGTGATTT